GATCCAAATTCACTGCGTATCAGCATCTTTAGGTCCCAATTAAGGCAAGAACAACAGAAATTTAACAAGCTGACATGCAGAACTGGGGAGCAGTTAATAGATATAGCAAGAAAATGAAATTGAAAACAAAAGCAAAACCAAAAACCAACTCTTACATAAGCTACAACTATATTAAATAGCACATTCTAAAAATATTTCACAATGCTGAATATAACATAAGCCTTGACAGAATTATTTTGGAACAATGATTTTCATTATTTATACACTATGTTACTATAAAGACCTTTTCTATCTCATTTTTTAAACACTTGTAACTAAGTTAGTCTATGGCAGGAGGTTTATTAAGCCGCAGGTTGCACAATGTCAGGGTAAAGCTGCACCAAAGGCAGGCAGATGCCATTAAAGCTTTATCTCACACTTTCCTTGCTGCCCTTCCATCTTGAAGAGAATCAGTCTCATTATTAGAGAGGTCCCTCCAAAACACTGACTTCCATACAACATACAACATCTCATCACTGGCTAAGTAGCAAGGCCAAAGTCTTGATTAGGTGTTTAAACCTCTCCTTTCATTATTCCCTAAGTGTGGCAGCAATCTGCCCTCAGGCCCTTGTCGAATTTCACTGCTGATCATGACATCTTGCCAAATGACCTGAACACATCTCCAGTAGGTAGCTACATTCCTCACTATGGCTAAGTGGCATCGCTGTGTGCTGCTAAGCACTCTCCCTGTTTTACCTCAGAACCAGGTTTGCCAACACATTGCAGAAAAGTAAGGCTTTTTGCATACATATCTATCTTCTGTGAGACTGAAAGTGCACTGATATTTGCTTTGTTATCTAATGAGAAGTGAACAGCAGTGCATGAAGAAGGGAAGCTACTCCAGAGCAGTGCTCAGTGTGCTGTGAATCAACAGCCCTCATCACCACCACCACCAGAACAGCAGTGTTTGCAGCACAAGAGGCTGGGGAACAGCCAGCAAAAATGCCTTTTTCTCCTTATAGAGTCCAAATAAAAAGAGCACACAGAAGAGGGATTTGTTCATGCTGCTCAGAGCAGCATTAACTCCCTCTCTGTGTTCAGTGACCCCACCAGATGGGTCACAGTGCACAGATGCTGGCACAGAGCCCTTGCCTGCAGAGGCACTAAGAGCCATGCAAGGGACCAGAAAGTAGACCACAGGGTGAATCTCTCTCCTTCCTTCCCTCCCTCCCTGCAATCTCACATTTCAGATGTCCCAATCCAGCCAAACCCACACATTTTTTTGTCTCTCCAAGCCCTCTCCCCCTTTGAAAGGCTTGGTCTTCCCTTCCACAGCTCTTCCTTTACCATGTTTGTATATAGAAGCTCGTTGTACTATTGTTCATAAAGTGCTAGGAGATGAATGGTGTTATATAACTTATAGTTACTGTTTTATCATTTTTTAGAATGATGGAAAAATAAAATGGGAGTGTAGACTCCCCTTGGGGCCAGGCTAAGCAAATCAAACTTAACATTACTGGTGACCCAAAAGAATATTCACTTCAGCATCCTCCAAATGGAAGAATGGAAGGGTAATGCATTTCAGCGCACACTGTCCTGCACAAAAAGACAAGTCACTAATAACTATGACACACAGACATGTGTGGGGTGAGAAATCTTCTGTGATGTAGCTCCTAGTCAAAAGCATTTACAAAAGTGTTGTTTTGTTTGAGGATTTTTGTTATATTTGCAATGATTTTCTATTAATTAAGCTTTTTTATGGCTTTTGATATTCCAAAGAGGTTTTATTCAGCTTGCTTTTCATTCCAGGTCAGCTAACATAAAATCAATAATGGTTTGGACAGATTTTGTTCTTGTAATGAGCCTAGAATTGGCATACATAGCCTAAACTCCCTTCCTATTTCACATTTACAGGAGCTTTCTCACAGTGATTTGGTTATCTCTTTCTCTCATATTCTTCTGAGGCAAAAATTTGCATTGGCATTTTACAAGGCTTCTGCACTATTTGTATCCCAGGCACAGAGACATCCTGCCTACTGAACTCAATGAAGCAACTTGACGCCAAAATCAGTTACAGCAGAAGCAGGTTTATCACTGCAGAAAAGTGAAATTACTCTCTCACCCAGGCCAAAGCTGCAGTTCTCCATGCAGACAATCCCGCTCAGACGAGCAGTGGCTGCAGGAACAGGTATACTTTCTGCAGTAAGAATTTGATGTTTTGATTGCGGTGTCCGTCCTGCAGCATCACTTGTTTTCATACTCACCAACTGTACCTAAATATTTGCACCAAAGTCCAATAGGAACTGATGTCTCTAAGGTTTTTGCAGGGTATGCAGTTCATCTTTAACCATCTCAAAGATCAGTGCATCTAAAGTACTTGCTGAACTACACTTTCTATGTGCTTAAACCTGAACCCATGCTAAAAGAGCTTTGCTGAATTGTGATCTGACCATGTTTCTGGTTGTATTACTCAGTGCCTGGCAGGAACTTCCCTCATTAGAAAGCATAACCTTTACTGCCTTATAAGCCAATAATAGAAATTACGCATCCTTGCAAAGAAGGTGTCAAAGCCGAGTTTGCCTGAACTGTTCTTGATGACTACTTAGAAAGCCAAATCAAATAAATACTTTCAACCATATTTTCAGAATAATTGCTTTCCTTTTTATTGGAAAGTCCTGTTTTATTATGGAAAATCACAAACTGAAGGTTAGGGGATGATGTGACAAGCTTGCCCAGAACCCTGTGCAGCAATCAGGGTATTTTGCTCTCACACAAATTTTACTCACAGTTACACACAACCAAAATTTGATCCTGAAGGACTCACTGAATTGTTAGGTACTTATTCAGGAGAGTCAGGTGGTTTTAATCACTAAAAGTAAATCATACTACTTGCCTGAGCAAAAAGCTTCACTGTAAATCCATCAATGATCTAGATCTCAGCATGTGTGAGAGGCAATTATACTACTTTGTTTCATTTTAGATCAAATGGCTAACTCTGCGCTTCACATTGACACCAAAACTCCCACTAAAGCAAACAGATCTGCCCAAGTCTGGAGTGCAGCTGGACTGGGCACTTTGTCTGTCAGTTTTGTTGCAGACAGTTTCACAGCAAATTACAGCATCATACCCCACCTAAATAAACAAGCAAACCAACTAAGAAACCAACATCTAAAATTAATGTGAAAGATCCTGTTGTCTATTATCGATCTCCTTCCCCCTCACTCCTGCGTTTTGGGCTGGCTCTGTGTGACAGTTTTTTATACCAAACATGTAAAATACTACTTGCTTGGCACTTACCATGCTTGGTTTACTGAACAGGAAGCAAAATCTTGATGCATTTGGCCATTATCCTTCAACGGCATAGCAAGGGATGGGTAAGAAGAAATTGTGTCTGGACGAGAGAACGTCAAAGCACTGTTTTGCAAAGCTGATTTACCACAGTACATGTATCTGAAGTACTTGCATAAAATATAATCTCGATTTAGTATTGACTTAGTTGTATTAGAAAATTTGTTAGAAACAAACCTTGAGCGTTGACAATCAAGACTTCTCTTTCTGCTAGTCTTGCTGTGCCACTGTATGTGGTAAAGGCGTGAAACATCCTTCAGCAAAAAACCCAAACTTTTAAGGAAGGAACAGAGATGTCCTTTGCAAGAAAAATGATAACACAGCTCTTGGAGTGAAAGAAGCAACTTTGTGTCAGTCTTCACTAGTGAGCTGCACAGTGCTGTGTTACCATGATGAAGGTAACGTGTCATTCATCTTTCAATGACATCTTAACTGTAAAATCCAGAGCACTGAAAAGGTTTTGTTTGGAAATAAAAGAAAACAAAGATGTGTTTTGATGAAAGGTGATGCTTTCTGTCTGAGTCCAAGATATAAGCCACGCAATGGTTATTTAAGTAGCACGGCATGCCATGTTAGACTCTTTAAGTGCCATCCGTTGCCAGTCTATGATACTTAAAAACAGTGAACTGTGTACACAAATGGTATGGATACATAAAAGGTGACCGATACACATGCCAAAGTAATATGGAGTGTACAATGAAAACAGTTTTGCAGATACTGCACTTGTATTCTACTTTCTTGTTATATCTACCGACTCCCTCATGTTTTTAATCTGTTGTGCACTTGGATAGAAAACAGTAACAGTGAATAATACTTTTTTCTTTCAGTCTCAAAAATATAACAAAGGTATAAAACTGTAAAACTAGGAAAAAAAGCTACACATACATTTTTTTTGAGTGGGGACAGTAAGCACAGGACTCAATTACTTAGAATTTCTGAAACAGTTAAGGTAATTAATAAAATTCTTTATAAAGAAGTATATCTACAATATTTAATAATTTAAGGCTCACAAGAAACTAACATATCAATGACAATGAAACTTTTCTGCTATAGGGTTAAAAGCACCAAATTCACTTCACATACTAGATAACCAGATCTGTACTGATCACAAGTGGAAAACTCTGAAAGTGCTGATCTGCTAATGTTTCTAGTGCTTTAACGATGTCATATTTCACAGGAATAAGAAACCCCCTTTCAACCATAAATACAGTCATACAGATATAAAATATATTGGAATAATTTCAGTTTGAAACTACAGTACAAAAAACCTCAACCTCACTCCCCCCAAACCCATTCATTCTCCACACACACATTTCCCCAACTCTTTAATACTAAACTTGGAACAACTGAATTGGTTACAAATGACCCATTTAAAACCAACAACATTTGCTAAAATGTTTCTACAAATTAGATTTTGCACTGTTGTAGTTCACCAGCTCCTGCATCATGGAGCGTAGCTTATTCTTAGTCTATTTTAAAAATAGGTGACCCTTTGTGTCATGGAAAAAGAACATTAAAACATGTATTCCTGGAGGACTGCTCAGGCCAATGATCAATTTACAAAATATAGCCTGAATTAAAAAAATAATTGGTACCAAAATAATAATTATAGTAGCAAGTTTCTGACACCAGCAAATCCTTCTATATCTCTGAACTCTAATTCTCTCCTCTCCTTACAGGTCTGTTTCCCTATTGGTGTCCAGACAGAGAGCATAGAGGGATTTTCTGAGGTCTACATTACTTTTTGCTTTGATATTCGTTTTCTCTAAGGAGCTAGAATCATTGTTGAACCCCTCACTGTTTTCCAAGTGCACAACAGATTTGTTCAGAGAGTTTCTACTGGATCTTCTCTTCGCATCTCCCCCCGCTGTACTGCTCTGAGCACTACTGTGTTCATCTTTGAGGACAGCTTGCTCTTCATGATCAGTCTCTCGGTGGTAGAAGTAGTTGAAGTTGGATACGATGACAGGGACAGGCAGGGCGATGGTGAGCACACCCGCGATGGCACACAAGGAACCCACAATCTTGCCCCCAACAGTGACAGGTCGCATGTCTCCATAGCCTACAGTGGTCATGGTTACCACTGCCCACCAGAAAGCATCAGGGATGCTGGAGAAATGAGACTCGGGGTCATCGGCCTCAGCAAAGTAGACAGCACTGGAGAAGAGGATGACCCCAATGAAGAGGAAGAAGATGAGGAGGCCAAGCTCCCGCATGCTGGCTTTCAAAGTCTGTCCCAAGATCTGCAGACCCTTGGAGTGCCTGGAGAGCTTGAAGATCCTGAAGACTCTAACTAGACGAATGACTCTGAGGATGGCCAGGGACATGGCTTGCTGCTGGCCCCCACCTCCATTGCTACTGCCAGCCCCAGGCTGCTGCTGCTCATGGGCCAGCTCAGTGCCCAGGGTGATGAAGTAGGGGATGATGGCCACAATGTCAATGATGTTCATGATGTTGCGGGAGAACTCAGGCTTGCTGGGGCAGGCGAAAAAGCGGACAAGGAGCTCAAAGGTGAACCAGATCACACAGGTGGTCTCGATGATGAAGAACGGGTCAGCGAGGCTACTGGGTGGCTGCATGGGTGAGGAGTCCCCAATCGTGCCATTCAAACCTACGCTTTGTGGGGGCAGGGGCACAGGCATCTCCCTCTCGTCCCTGAATTCTGGCAGGGTCTCCAGGCAGAAGGTGATGATGGAGATGAGGATGACCAGCACGGAAACAATGGCGATGGCCCGGGCCGAGCTGGAACTCTCAGGATACTCAAAGATGAGCCAGACCTGGCGCTGGAACTCATTGCGGGGCAGGGGCTTCTCCTCCTCTTTGATGAAGCCCTCATCCTCGCGGAAGCGCTCCATGGCCTCCTCACCCAGCTGGTAGAAGCGAATCTCGTCGGCGAAGACGTCG